TTCTGAGCAGCGACGCCAGTCGGAGCCAATACAAGATGTTTAATTTTCCTACGACGAAGGTGATCGCGGAACATATGTATAATAAAAGACTTGCCGGTACCAGCTGAGCCAGTTAAAAAATAATATGGCCACTGATTATTACGAGAGCCCATCATGTTTGTTAATGCAGTAATAGCTTTGTATTGGTCTTCTGGCAAATCAGTTATTGATGTATAAGGGGTAATATGAGGTAACTTTTGCAAAGCTGACAATTGAAGTTTAACAATGTCTATGTTTGTAAGGTTGACCTGTTGTTGTATTGACTGTAAATGTGAATCAATGATGGTTGCAAACTGATGTTCAAAGTGCATTGTTATTTGAGCTATATATGATCGAGTTTGTTCACGCATCAATAATGTTTCATCGGGAAACATAGAGAGATAATGCTCTCTGTAGCTATCATATGGACCTGACAGCTCATTCTCCGATCTCCATGATTTAGTTTGCAGTAAACGATAATAAAAAAATGATTCATTATCATTTAACTTAAGAAAGCGAGTACGTGTAAGTATGGGTTTTTTTCTTTTAATTACTATTCGACCATCAAGATCTCTTATAGCTTGGTTTGTAACATTACTGTTTGCAGTACGGACTTGATATAGTTGATAATATTCCTCATATTTTAAATGTTCAAAATCATCACCGTATGGTCTATGAAAATATTTTTCAATAGCATCGGGATAGTATGGATTTTCAGGATCGTGTAATAACTGTGAAACTGGCAATATGGTTTTTGATCGAAATGAAGGGGGTTCTGTGGGTAAAAAGTTTACAGTTGCAGAAGAATTGCATATAGTTTCACCAGTAATCAAGTAAATTACCTCCATGGCACCTAGTCTTCTACCAAGTACATGGTGGTAATAACGATTACCTTCTTGAATATTAAATATATGAGATGGCTCAGCTTTGGAAATATACTTAGTCATATAGCGCGCAAAGCCTTTACTAGTGACATATTGAAAATTACAATGAGCATCCCAAGCCAACAATGTAGGTGCATGGAATGGGACAATCCACCTATCTTCTTCTGTGATGGCTTTATAGACATAACGTAAGGCAGTTGGATCATTATACGTTGCATTAGACAGAGGCCGAGGAAAATTGCGCTTACATTGT